CGCCCCGAGTATATTTACGGACTGAACTGGATTCCTTCGGTGTGTCAGTCAGCTCCGAACATCGTAGTTCGCAAGAGTGCACTCGAAAAGCAATATCACTCGGCGTATATAAAAATAGCTGATTCACTTTTTGCAAACGAACGACCCCACTCATTTCAGAATGAGACATTTGCGTCAGTGATTTGTCTACTTTTTACGAATAGTAGGTTCATGCACACCTGAGTTTCTGACGGTTTGGGAATAAAGGTAAAACTATGGGGAGATACGGTTCTCTTTCATGAGGTCCTATAAATAGAGCGTTACACAACCCTGAGGTGCCAGTTTCAGCCAACAGACGAGTCAAGGTACACCGGACACAACAAGTCTGTTAGTGATCGAAAACTAGACGTAGAACGACGTTGACGTTTGGAAGCCCACATCATGTGGAGGACCTGCGACTGTTGACTGGTTTCTACACTCATGAAGCGGTATTCGCAACAGAGATGCCACCTTTGGACTTCTATCACCATGCGCCTATCATCATACGTCGACATTATTGCAACAAAAGTTTAAAACACAGGGAATGGTGACTTTAGTTTTCTGCTGGTTGGAAGTTCACAATTCACAATATGGACGTCCTCCACACTCTCGCTCCGAAGTGATTGTTACCCATCAATTAACAGAAGTCCGACAACTTGCAAACGGCGCTTGTCATTAAGAGGGCTTCCTTTTGGCCAGATGTTCCACCGAGTGGTCTTCAGCACAGGGTGACGGTACAAAGAAAACTGCTTTGGAACCCAACCCTCATCTTTGCGTTTCGGCTGGGGCGCAAACAACAAGGCCTACTGAACCACACACGGTGGAAAATACTCGCATAGCTTCACAATCCGCTGTCTCGAAAATTTTATTTTGTATGACGGTAAAAACTGACGCAGTTGGGTGAAGAAGTTTCCATTATCAGAGCACCGTGCGATTCTTATGCATGATGTCAACAACGTGAAGTTTCAGTACGCTGTCCGTCTTGATGTTCACTGGCTGCCTTTTATACCGAATGATGATACCGTTTTACTGTTTTTGCGCTGTGACCTTACACACGTGATCTGGTCTGAACTAATCGAGCTGCGTACTACCCGGTCTTTGTGGTTTCCATATCAGATTTAGTGTGGAGTTTTTGCTGGCTTTAGTTACAACTGCACCTGCATCCTGATCATAATCACTCATTCAATGAAAGGAGATCCACAACGAGGGAATATCATTTACGGGTCTATAAGTGCGAACAGGAATACACTATTGTGCGTAAACGAAGTAAAGTCTGAATATTCCACCGGTTGCCTTACTGTTCATTAGAATTGTTATTGGTCTGTCCTTTGGGCACTGGTATGTCTTTTTGTAAATCACGCGTCAGAACTTATCTAACCCGATACAGTTATTTAGCAGACGATATTCACAATGTATTCTGGTTTCCTGAGTCCATTTGTCTGTCATTTAGTGAACTAGTAAACGCATATTTTGGTTACCTCAACCACACTATCAGAGTGACAGTTCCTGTCATCAGAGGAACTGCTGTAGAAAAGCTTCAGCCTACGGTTTAAAAGAGTAGGGTCATAAAATATGTATAAGCCACCTAGACTACTGGACCCTTTCCATTCGTACACTGGACTTCCATGGTCAAGGGAAAAAATCTTTTTGATGCAACGCACGTGGTCCCGAACGGATTAAGATGAATTAAACAGCTCTTGGTGTCCGGAACCGCTCAGAAACGAAAATTCTAATCACTCATGGCATTCTGAAATTTCGACATCGAAAATAGCCTCTGGTTCCTATAATCTGTAGGCCAATAATGGATACAAGCAGATCAACTTCCATGATGGAGATTTCTTAAAAGATTGTTCTGGAGCTCTCATGTAGATTCTGACCGTAATTGAACCAAGGATTCAACCGGATTTACCATAGTAAACGGCTCTACCCATTCAACGTGGAAACTTCTCAATTTGTCATGGAATGCGCTTTTTCTCCTGGCATCAAATACATGGACAAGCGGATTCATCAAAGTGCCAGTGTACAAGCCTTCATTGGTGGTGCCAAAGGCATGGATGATTATTATCCTCCGCGGGTTGTGGGCCACCCGATAGCTTGTGAAATGGGTAACAAACTATCTTTCGAAAAGGAAAGGACCCCGTCGTTCAAAAGCTCCTACTGTGACAGCTCCTCAATATCCTATCTTCCAGTGTCCTGTTATCTCCGATTTTTGAGCTGTCTTGGGTTCTGTAGTTATCTGCATACGGGGAATTTACTGCTAAAATCACGTCTTATCACCAAGATCAGAAGTATTTCAAAAGGTACCGTAGCCTTCAGCGCAGACGCGGCCAAGTTCCGTTACTGAATGATCAAACGAACAATTATTAAGTTTGATTTACACTTCTTTGGATACAGGGAACAGCTCTTCAGGACTTCACTTGTGAGTTGAATGATTAGAGCGACGCACTAGGTGTGGTGCGCTCCTGGTGGGAACAGTTTGTTGATGGTCTACTTTCCGTGGATGTAGGGTTGTCACTCATAGGGACCACGTCGATTTTACTGGTTACGGATAGAACTGCAGTAGTTTTCATGGCATACACTTTGCATTTTCTGGGGATAGGTGAGAAAACAATTAAGGGTCATGGGATGACCTGGCGACTAATTGTCGGAAATTTCACATATTCCGTATCCGTTCATGTGAACTTCCTAGATTAATGCAGATAATGTGACTGGTTGGGAGCATCGCTTCTGGGATATTCGCGTCCCATTATCAGTAAAGTTTCAAAAACCATCCATTAATTTGTTATTGGGCATGGAAGAACGGTACGGCATTTACTCATTTTGTATCCTGTTTACGAAGGCGGTTATTCATCAGTGTTGTACGATAGGTAACAAAAAGAAGGTAGTGGTAACGATACTAGCACTAAGTAAAATGCTTCTAACAAGGTCGGTAAGTGCGGAATCGAAAACGCATGCGCCAAAGAAAAACTCACTAGCTTGAAGATAAACTTCGATTACCTTTAGTGAGCGAACGGTTCCTTGAGGTCACTTGGGGGCTCACGTCCTGGTAGGACTACTAGAATATATTTACTGGTTATTCCAAACCAAGGTCACCTTCCACTGTCCAGAATGAACACATAATTTAGCTTAACTCTTAGGTCTCCTCATCTCTTCTGGTTTTACTGTTTGTCCTTTTATACGATACTTTTCGTCAAACACTTTGAAATTACTTCCAAAGCGCTGGTATGAGGGCGTTTACTCGTTCTTCAATAAGATGGGACAACTTCCCTCTTATTATTAGCAAGCCACTTTCCCTATCCATAATGAGCTCACTAAGAAAGTTTTCCCCATGTGTTCTCGCGTAACGTCTATGTTTCTTTTCTATTTAGTTTCTCGCACTTAATCGGGAATATTTTGTCTTGCTGCCCCAAACATTAAAGAAGTTCCGAATTTAAATGAACCTACTTGTGCATTTTTCTCCGCTTCCCTAACCACTAAGCAACTTATAGCTCGTGATAGTTGCACGTTTAAAACACTAAGTGACAAAGATCAGCGAGTGATTTGTAGTCCTCCAGAAGGCTTTCGACTTCCAATACATGAATGAAGTTCTAACAATAGGTTCTTCCGCAATACACCTATTCATTGCACGACCCAAATGCTGATCACCGGCGATAACGGTTACTTATGCGTATATGTTAAATTATTTCTACCTGTGAACTGTTTTACCTACCGAAGTTCTACCACTTAAAATCCATTCCCTCACGGATTACATTATTGTGCATGGGCCGATAAGTACACGGCCAACTGCTACAAAAACCGTTGGCGTAAATATTAATCGTGAACGTTTCCGTTTCATCTATTCGATCAAAATAATTGATGTCTGCAAGGCAGTGGAACACCAATGTTTCCATCTGGTGTCACTGTTAATGGTGTCGGTAATAATGATGATGATACTGATGAGACGGAATACAGCGCCAATTACCCCTAAATCACGGAATTCACATCACTTGGTCGAGTGTTGATTGTGTATTCCAGTAACATCTCAGATGGAGATTTCACTCATCTTATGAGAGTTTTCTTTCTCTGAGTTACTCATATGTTGCGATTTGGGTTCTGTGATCGACGAAAGAGTGGCGCTATATCCTCCTTAAGTGTGAGTTGATCATACTGCTGACCAGTTGCTTGTGGAGTAAAGGTCAGTTGTTCAAATTAGTATTCAGGAGGATGCGGGTTCGAGACTTCCTGGAGTTACGTGATACGCGAACTGCTGATGACTTCCAATAAATCTGAAGTGGATGTACAGTGCTTCCTGATCTTATAACGTAGATTGTCTTGGCTCACATGACGAAATCTCCATTATATTTCCCAAATCTCCGCACGCTATCAAGATCGAACCTGCTCACGAGGACTGGTTGGGCAGTCAGTTATTTTTCTATTGTACCGGTTTGGTGGCAAGGTAAGAGCAGAAGATCGCTAATTATTAAAGCATTTCCTTTAAGAACTCAGCTGGCTCCAGTATATCAGCCTACCATTTACATTAGGGAAGCTTGGGTGTCGTCAGTCATCATTGTGTCCCTTTTACCGTCAGTGAGTGTAGCGAGGTTTTTTAGAGAGCATTATCCATTCCCAGCACCAATTTTTTTAGTTACAGAGTCCGTAGGCCGCAATTAAGTTGTGCTTCGAGACCATCAGATTCCACTTCAGAGAACTTCGACTAGCCTGTCCAACTAGACACCCCTAACCGTGCTTTTCTTAGACTCATTCCTTTAGAAATACATGTGTGAAGGTTTTTGAGTTAACCTTTTATTCGGATCTTTATTGCTATGTTTGTTCGAAATTTCTTGCTATGCACGGGATTTCCGCGTCATACAACGACAACATTCCTATGGTTTCAACTTATCTACAAAAAATCACTTATCGCATTGAATCTCCTCTTTATTGTTCCATTTTGCATCTCTGGTTGTTTCTTTCAGCGTACCGTCTGGCATCATTGACAGCTCGTCATGTCTTATCGTGAAATGCGTACATTTACAGAAATGATGCGATCACTCGGCTATAACCGTATCATATCGATGGAGAATTTTCGGACACCGAATTTTCCTCTAGTTGCGGAGATTCTCGCTTGGCTTGTGCTCCGGTACGATGCGCTCGCTGATTTACCAGCACAGTGTTTGGATACTGAACAAGATCGAGTGATATTCATCAAAAGTGTTGCGCACTTCATGGCCACGCGGGCTAACATAAGGCTAAATACGAAAAAGCTGTACCAAGCCAATGGGTATGCAGTGAAGGAGATGATGAAAATCGCAACAATACTGTATACAGCCACATATACACAAAGAAGACAGGATGCTGGAGATACAACCGAGCTATGTGTGACTGAACTGTTTGATGTGGCCAGGGTAAGTGAAGAAGTACTGTTTTCTAATTTAGAGCCTAACGCGGACCCCAAATGGCATTGTTTTGTTGCGCTTGGTTCACTTACGTGTCAGCACTCCGACCTGCGGTTTACCTCAGAAGATCCAGACTCCAAGGCTAAGATCACCGTAGTATTCGTACCGGTATCCACTGGTGACTGCCACCATCCACTATTATAATTAGTTTTCAAGTTTCAGTTGGAGCTTTTGAATTCCCGTCGAAGTGCAGGCAGTTGTTTTCCTATTTTCGTATGTGCATGTAGCCGACCATATCTTTCCTTCCTCAGAGATGATCGCTGGACGTACAAGGTTCCACCCGACTCTGTTTTTGAGGTTTTGAACTATCACAGTGATACTGCTGTTGAACTAATCATGTCAACGGACGATGGTTCTGTATTGTGCTCGACAATTCCCGCAAATCCTCCTGATGCCTTCCGGCATTTTTCGACCCGCATTTCTCGGTTCAGTAGATTGGACCTTAGAATTTGTGATTTATGGATAGCTTATATCTTCTGTCTTCACGCTGTTACCAAATCTGTATATAACACATCCATTCAGTTTCTTTTCAGGAGAGTTTGGTGAATAGTCAGTGGGTTATGCTGCTGCTGTTGATGACGGTGGTGGTGGTGGATTTGTTGCCGGACAACGTCTCAGTTTTGACACCGAGTCCTCGCCAGGCCAAGTGGGTAATTGGGTTTGTTAATCTCTAAAACAGACGGTGCAACGATCAGCGATATCGCTACCGACTACTTTTGGATGTTGACGAAAATTCCTTTTGACTGATGCGATGAGGAACTTCAGTTGGGTATCTCGATAGGATATCGTTTGTCAGTTTTGTTGGTCTTTATTGACTGTTAAACGCCAGGATATTTAAGGGTTCGTGGAAAACATGTAAATCCTTGCATCCTTGATCCTTATGCTTTAATCCCGCACTACTAGTTTACAAAACTCTTCTTTACTGCTGGCCGCGAAACGCCACATATAGATTTGACTGATCCAAAACGGCTCTCAACACGGCTCCACTGTCGATGTTCTGTTAAAAATTGCCGACTTGGCATTCTCCAACGCCTCGGGAACCACTGTACGTGTTGTGGAGTTTGGGTAAAACCACAAAACTACATTTTTCAAACATTTCTGTGTTCATCGTCAAGCCTGTGCCCTCCTCCATCGTCTAGTCTTTAGCTGATATTTTTTTGCACCTTCCGCTGTTTATTTAAACAACTGCTAATTGCGACGTGCAGTTATCCCATGCTGTTTGTCCTATGTGGAGGCTTGTGCCGTCGTTAAGTTTTGCTTCGTGTACACAGTCCATGGTTCTATCAACCAGGAGGCGATCTTTGATTTGCAATGATTGATTCTGGAATGCCACTCTAATGTATCCCATATTTAACAATGTTCAACTAATCTTGGATCTAACGCTGTATATGTTTAAACAGGACTTTTATCGACTCCATTTCTTTGCCCCTTCGAATACAGAGGAAGCAGTTACAGGAAGGTCGCAGTCTCGCTAGCCAACTCGCTTCTTCCGGGGCTTCATTACACGCGCTGCTGGGAAAAGAAGTTGACTTGCGAGAGTCGCGTGACTCATCTATCCGTCGTCAATTGGACAGTTCGTGGGTTGAAGAGCGTGTTGCTGCTGCGTGTGATACGCTACGCTCTCAGGTTCAAAAGACCGAGTCCTCACTCATTAATATAGCGGCAGACGAGGCCGCACTCGATGATAAAATAGAGAAAAAACGTAATGAGCTGGAACGTAATAAAAAACGTCTTTCCACTCTCCAGTCAGTTCGACCGGCCTACATGGAAGAGTACGAACAGCTGGAAGAAGAGCTATCTGCCCTCTACTCTTTTTATCTCACACGTTTTCGCAACTTGGCATTCCTAGAAAATCAGTGTGAGGAGCTGGTCAAAGCTGGAGCCACCCAGACTGACGATGCTGAGACTACGCTGCGGACTATTGCTGAACATTTGAAGCAAAATGTGGTATGTTGATTTTGACCCGTACTTCCGATTCATAGTCAGCGTTTATAAGTTCAGCAGTTATGATGATATATTGATGGGACGAATATATGGGTGATGCAAATCTACCACCTGAACTCTCTCCTTGAAAAGTGACTGCAGGTGGCTGGTCGACCTCATACAGACAAAAATTAAATGCGCTTCACCAGGATGAGATGTTAAGTGTAGATGTAATAGATGGTCAGTAGATGGTCTTACGCCTACTTTTAAAAAATTTTCCGTATGAAACAATGCGGCTGCCCAACAAGGAAAACGTTTTCGAAATCTACCACGCTAGCCCTAGATACTTGAGTTGTATTACTGTCTCTGCAACTGAGATTTCAGATGATAGACTAGTATCCATTACGAGGAGCAACTCATCCTGGAGAGCAAGAAGCCTTTGAAAATCCGAAGTTAGTTTTTTCAGCAAAGTGTTTATAACTGATGCTATCTGACTAATTACTTCTCTAGAAAAATGTCAATGAGAATACCGATGGTAAAGGATCCGCTGCCATGAAGAGTGTTGGAATCCGAGGACATCAGTCCGCACAGTCAATGAAAAACGGGAAATTCGATGACGCTCAAGAAGAAGATACGGAAGAGGAGGAGGAAGACGAAGAAGATTTAATAGATGGCCAAGATGATGATGATGACGATGATGATGAGATGACGATGACGATGACGATGATGAAGACGATTCCGTCGATGATGAGGATGTTGAATTGTTTGGCAGGAAAAGTGACCAGGTGGATGGGGGAATCCGTGCGGGACGGAATCAGTTAGCACCAGGCTGGTCGCCCAGCAGACAACGTATCCCAGCGGCTAGCTATCACGGTAGATCCCAAAGGGTTTATACACGTGAGTTGGCTGATCCGGATGGAACAGCTGAAGAAAAGAATTCAACGGATGGCACTAAGCAACAGCTTGTTAATTCATCAAGGGATAAGTCAACAAACCAAGTGCCAACCGACATTATCGGGTCCAAAAATCAGGTAAGACACATATTTGCGCTTTATTTTTGGTCGCATTGCGTGTAGTAAATACAGTAAAACACCCGATGGAGACTCTGTGAAGGAATATTACCTCCAAAACAGGCCAAAACAACGTTCATGCAGGTACGACTTAGTTGAACTTCCTCAAAAGACTAACCATTCAGATAAGATGCGAAATACTATTACATGTTTGTCTCTCTGATTTGTAGGAGATGGCTGTTTTCTCATTGGCTGGTGGACTAAATATTGAATAAAATTCGCTTCAGGGATTGAAATACTACAGAGACCTTTGCTCACAGACATTGAATAGGAAGAGGATATCGCCTTCCTCGATTCAGATTCTTCAGTGGTTCAACTAAACTAAATAATTCTGTTGCACGGTTTTGTGTGATCATGCCTTTGGAGTGTCAAGTGCTACTACAATATTAGGAAGGCTCAAACCCAAAAGTCATACTTCCGGTAGCTAAGTTTACCCACCTGAACAGTCGTATAAGTTAGGGTGAACTGGCTGAAGACGAGATCACTTATCGAATCGGGAAGGCCAGGATAGCTTTTGCCAACTCCCCACATCTATGGCACCGGTGTGACGTCACATTGTGTGTCACTGGCAGGGTTTACACTGTAGCAGTTTGAATCTTGCTGCTTACGAGTCAGAAGCGTGGCCTCTATGTGTAGAGGATGTACACAAGCTGTCAGTATTTGACAATGGGTTTCTACAAAGCATTTTCCAGGCCTGGTGGGAGCATATGGTTAGCAATGCGGAGATACTTTATGTGGTTTTTAGTGGCAGAATATCTCTTACGATGGAAGAGCCACTAAGCTCTATAGGTTTAACTAGTAAGGACGCGTACTTCACCAGCCAAGAGACCATCTGCCTCGCCGATCCGTTTTTCTCATCCCTATGCTGAGTGCAAATCACGGGGAGGTGGAGAGTCTATAACGGGGCAACGAAGTACCAAAGTGGTAACCATTAAACCTCGTTGATTTAGCAACTGTCGTTCCTTAGACGAGGACTGAGACACACATGGTCAGTGGTCAAAGACGTTTGCAGACATCGCTGAGTTATACAGTATGTGACACTTTTGCACCAAAGATATCGCCTTCAGCCTTCAGCCGCCCGGTTTATTGTTTCCTCACTCAACAAGAATGATTTAATACTAATTAAGTGATTGTATCATGGCCTCTATCTCCGAGAGTATCTTTTCTTCCATTTCCTGGTAGCAGCCGGAAGCAAGACACCTGGGTACATGGTTCATATATAGCAAACTGGGTTAAATTGGAACAGTATTCCCTGGAAGCAACTTATTTTCCTTAGCATCCCAGGTAAAAAGCGAGAATGAAACGATACGTGTTAATTATTTTCTTAGAATCACGGTTATCTTTACCGAAATACTTTGCTCCCAAGTTTTCGCGTATTTTAAATGATATTTCGCTTATTTATACTGGTGCGATTTTGGTCCTTGGGTGAAGTAAATTTGAGGGGGATTCATTCGCTCTGTTTCTTTTCTTCATGAAATAGCAATTATACAGCAAATTAACCAGAACATACAGGTTATCTATTTAATTACTGGAATCAGCTAGACGAAAAACCTCCAGCATACGTAGGTGTGAGTTTTATCTGCTGGTAATATGGATCTTTTCCACAAATAATAACAGTCATATACTAATTTAGACAATTTCTCTCACCCTTCATTGTTAGGTGAATACTGATGCTGGCATTATCAGCGGTGACCCAGTTGGTAGTGGTGTAGCCGAGGGAAAAATGACCGATTCAGGCTTGAAAAGCAACTCAACGAGACAGGCGGCTTCTGGGTTGTTGTCCAAAGCTTCCAAGATGGGAACCACGAAGGATCCCGAAGATGAAGAAGATGACGATTTTTGAACAGATACGCCAGTGTGATGTTGTTTCCAGCGCAATTATCATATGTTCTCAAATCACCCGTTTCTCTTCATCGATGCAATTATAAAGTTTCATGAAATCCAAGATTCGGCTCTATGGTGGCTTTGACTCGTATAATCTTATGGTTGGTGGACGACTTTCTGTTGGTGGCGGTGGTAGACTGAGTATCTGTGCTGATTCTTTGTTTTTGGAAGTGTGTAGGTACTTTTTACGAAGGATCATGATGGTCGTTTTCAGCTGAAAACCCGCGTAATTACCGTAGATTGGTTACAGCTGCCACAGTTTCGTTCGCCGGCCATTCGGCTAGATGAGATAGATAGCTGCGCATTGGTGGCGGTAACTGATATAACTGAAGCTTGAATACCAGTAAACTCAGCTGTGCTGTTTGTTGCCGTCTCCTTGGATACGGACTTCGAGACGGGACACATCAATAGTTAAAGACCTGCCAAAGTTGTGCTCTTAATGGTGCTCATGCATCCAAGTGGTTGCCTTCACTGTATAGGTTCTCTCTCGATCTTCTCACTATGTTCTAATGAGAATATCAGTTACGTGACATTATAAGGATCCGATGTAGTCAAAATAATATTTCAAAAGGATTTCCGTGATAGGAACTCCGGACAGCACAGCTAGTATTGCGAGGATTGGATAATTGGCTTATGAAATGTGGGTCATTCGACTAAACCAAAATTGTATGGCGGACTCATTTTATGCTGCTTGAGGGGTTCATAATAACCGAAAAGAGTAGAAGACAAAAACTTATCAAGAAAATATGGTTGGTTAGCGTAGTACGCGTGCTTGGACGCCAACATAGTGCGACCGGTTTTCAGCGGATGGTTTTCGGATATTTCTCATTTGCAACCCAATGTTTTTGCAACATGTTGCCATTTGATGTGCAGAGTTTTGACTAGTAAGACGAAATCGGAATGCAATGTCGACAGACGTTTTATACGCATGTTTTTCGTTGATGATAGATGAGACTAAATACACAAATGTCTCTGACTGACAGCCACACTGGTTTGTCATAGACCTTAGGAGGTACTACAAAATATCACGTCCGAACCAAAGCAGTGGAATTCACTGCACCATGTGTAGTGATTTGTTGTCTGCTTCGTTCGGTTAGACTTGTTTTGCTTCCACGTTTTTGGAACATTATGGACCACCTGGGTATGGGCAGTATGTTCCAGACAAAAACTGCCATGCACAACCAGCTCATCATGTTATCGTATGACCATCCAACGTGCAGTACGTATGGTTCGATTCGTGAACGAGATCCAAGTAGAATTCACTCTTGGACCCCTTGGGTGAACAAAAAGGAAATCTTGTGACTTTGAATTTTTAAGCCACCGCTTGTATTCTGGAACTATCCACGGTCAAACAGGTTCTTGTCGGAGTAGTCATAGTATTAACGGTAGGAAGTCCACAGCAATGGTTACCATCCCTATAAGCGGAGAAAGGAAACCACAGTAACACACAGGTTAGGTGAGTACATACATCCTGCTCGTCATCACCAGAATTTTCAGTTATCCTCCATTTCTTTGATCCGTCCTCAAGTCTGAAAGCTTTGAACATAAAAAAGTGGAATGGGAGGAAAGGTGAGGATGTTGATAACTGGTGTGATAAAGGATGAGTGAGACCACTTAGGATGGGTTGGCCAGTTTGCTAAAGTGTTTCCAACAGTCGGTGAGAGTTGTTATCTGTTTTCTAACCAGTTAGACACTTGCTAGGCTTTCTAGGTTGTTCAAGCATGGAATTTATAACTCGATATGTTGTCATCGACTGTCCACCTCACCTCCATTCAACTTGAGGCTTATCAGACAAAGGTGCGGTAGCGGGTGATTGGGCATCCGGATGTCATCAAGCGACCACAGCAAACCGCAGTTTCGATAGGTATTTCACTAGGTGTGCATTTGGCCCACTATCCCTGTACGCGTTGGAACTGTTCATCCGACCCCTTAGTTTGCGAGGATTCAGCTCGTAGGCAGCCAAAGTTCATTTTTTTAACTCTCAAAAATGCTGCTGGACCAACCACACAAGCTCTAAAAACCGTATGAAATCTTTTTCATTATACCATCACATACGAAGCTGAAGGAGGAGACGAAGAACCCACGTCAACAGACAATTTCCGTGCACTGGATGCAGACGATTTCCACTCCAGACCGGACTTTAAAATTATTCACCAGTAGTGTCCGGTTTATGTTGCCGCCCAGATTCACCAGGTTCGAGGTGAAGGGGTTTCTCACATTCAGTGTTCCTATGGCGCCAACACAAGGTAAGCTGAAGCTGTTTCCTCAATCACTTACGCTTACTGACAAGCACAGTATGCACAGTGGGCAATTCCGTAATTTCAAAGTAGAGTTAACTGCGTCTGTTAGCGCTTGTGTCAGCGCTCATGGGTACCCAGTCATCTGGGTACTCTGGCTAATTAGGTGATGTTTTCAGCAACGTTTTGGCATATCAAAGCCCCAAGTAAATGCTGGAGACAAAGTGCTTACGAACGTATAATTTCTGCAATCAAAAGTTTCATTTTATCCCTCAGTTTTCGAAATTTCAACAAAAAAAGCTCTCTGTGAACCACGAGTGCCATTTTATCAAGTGATGGCATAACGTGGGTATACTTTGGTGTTTACCAGGAGGGGCGATAGTGCGGCCGTGGTTGTCAGCCGTTTGAGGGCATTTCTAGTCTCAGGGTAGTGAAGCGGGGTCGTGCTTTAGACTTAACAGAGCCCGTCTTCGAAAACTGATTGCGTAATGTTCGTGATCATTCTTGGTCAATAATCCTAGCTCAACCGTCTCCGTGACTAGTTACTGATTTGACTTACAAAGTTGGTGACAAAAGCTAAAACAATACAGGCCCCAGTTTTGGTTTAATTTTGCGTTGCAAGTGGCCTTATGTTGGCGCCAGGTCCATTCCTAAACGGGGTAGTGCCACCGGTCTTCAGTAGCAAAAACCCGAGCTAACAAGCCAGAAAGCATGAAGGTTGATTTACAATATGATTACGGGCTTCAGTTACTTTTGGGGTGGCCACCATCTGTTTGGAGACGTGAACAATTTTCCTCGTTTTAGTTGAAGCGTTGGATGATGGTTAAAGCTAGTTTCCCAGTCGGTCTGTCCGATGACCGGTTTTCTGAGCAGGTTTTCAGAAAGTTGTTTGAACAGACAATACATGTGTTGTATATCTATTTTGAAGATCAGTCGCCTGATAAGAAAATATCTTTGCAGACATGCAGTATTGCCTTGAATGCAGATCTACGTGTAAAGTGGGTCGCGATAATGCATCGCCCATTAATCTGCTAGAGCGCAGTGCACCAAAGATAAAACAGGACAAAGTAAAATGAGGACACCTCACAACTGCAATGTCATGGATCATTATAGCCCAGTTGACTGGACCGTTAATGTGGCGACCAATCGGTGCCTGTCAGAACAGGTTCCTTGAGGCTTGTTCGGGTAATCGTACACCATGCTGATCCAGCTGTTATCTGTTGACTGGATTGCTGGATCGGCGGATTGATTTGGTTGCGCATTTTGTAACCCTGGTCAATCGTGCTAACTGGTGACGCAGACAAGGGGTGACGTTCTGATGTCAACAGTCGTTAACAGTCAACATGTGACCACGTGATGTGGATTCCGTGATTGGGGAATTGGCGACGCTATATGCTGTCCAAGCAGAGCTGCTGATCAGCAGCTTGTGGCCGTAGCACTAAATTGGACGTCGCGCATTCGAAACTTCCTTGAGTTTCGTGCTCATGTGTATACTTCTCGATTTTTCAGTATGGTCTGACTTCATTTATAGTGCGAAGTCTCCATTGGAAAATTCCCGATTCTCCTTACACTACCAACAAGTCTACTTTATCTTATTCGATCTTACTGCCGCCAACTATCTTTGTTTCTCTCTTTTGAAGTTGCTGTAGCTCTTGTCTGAGGAGATTGCCGAAAGGGTTGAGTGAATGTAGTGTCTGCTGGGAAGGATATTATCGTCGTAAGTAACTTTAAGGTAGTGGAATTGGTTGCTCCTGAGAAATAGCTTCAGCGGCACAAGTGTTTTTTCCAGTGTTCGTGCATGCAGTCTCGTAGGGCTTTGAAGGGTCTGGATATCCCGAACCTACCACTTATTTGTTTATCGTTTCTCTTTATCCTAATATAGTTGGGCTCACACAAGTCAGCTGCATGTATTACTTCACTGAGGCTCTGATGGTTTCGTTTCCTTTTCTCGGTGAACATGTTTGGAATCTTTGTACTTGGATGCGACTAATACTTCACACATTTGATATGCTTAAGAATGGAAAGGAGAACAGGAATTAATAGCAGACGAGTTTTACTGTCAGTACACAGTGATTCGCACTAAGCGGAGCCATTACGAGATGTTTATCTGTATACATGCTTTCCACCATCGTGAAAAAGCCGTAAATCAACAGAACTACTGCTATCAAAAGGCCATTGTCAGGACATCCGTATGAGCGTTCTGCCTAACAAAATTCGCATACTGGTGAATTTCGAGATATGGGAGTTGATAATGTCATGAGACTTCGTTAGTGGTCATTCTTCGGCTTATTCGTTGACACTATAGGGTTGCTGTGATTAAAGAATAGAATGGACAAAGTTCTAATCCGTGGACAGGCGGCTCTTAAGCTTCTTGGAAATACTTGGAACAAACTACTGCTTTTAAAGACTCCATCCATTTCAGCCTACATCGGGGTGCAGAGCACTGATGACGTTGGATCACCGCGCTGCGTAACGTGCTTTCTATTTCGATTTCGCCATGACAAACAGTTTTCAGGTAATGCCTTCTGCAGTTACAAGGCAGCTATGGTCTTAAGGGACACCGTAGTTGAATGAAATCAACTATCGCTTCAGATAAATAGTAAGTGTCAAGAAGGTCAGTTTCCTGAAGAATATCCAGGAATATCCGAAACCTACTGAGATTCCCAACTCTACTAGACGCAGACGAGACAGCACGGAATCAAAGTCAGACAGTGCGAGACAGCATTGGATCAAGGTTAGAAAGCGCCCGCACATTATGTAGTGCGAGAGCCTTGGATTAAGGTCAAACGGTGTTCCTCAATGAAAATGCATGAGGCCGTCGTAACTTTCGCA